ATTTCTTTTACTTCTGGCTTAACATTCCTCAAGGACAGTAACTATTTAATAATAATAATAATAAAGTAGTAACTTGCATTTCCAAAGGTAAAATCTGGAAGCGAAAGCAAATAAAAAGGTACACGGGGCTAGAAAAATACAAGAGAGACTCACATCTGAAATATAGACCTTTGTGCTGCTTTTATCGAACACTTCTACTGTAATGACATACACCTGCCCCACCTCTAGACTCCATCGGCCTCCAGGCTGGACTGTGAAACCTATAAACACACATCAAGAAACAAAAATATTAGGGGAGAGTTTCCAAAGTAGATCCTGTAGTTCACTCTATCAAATTGTATAATAATTTGGGGTTCCAAAGATGCTGGCTTAACTGAGCTCAGGTACAAAGAAATACTCTGTATATCGGCACACAAAAACAAGCCACAATTGTCAGGCAAGATTCTAGGTTTTTTCAGTTAGGTTCATTGTCTCAAATGGTAAAGACATTCGGATTCTCTCTCTTTTTTTTAAATCCTCACCTGAGGATATTTTTCCATTGATTTTTAGAGGGAGTGGAAGAGAGAGGGAAAGAGAGAGAAATATCGATGTGAGAGAAACACATCAATTGGTTGTCTCCTGCAGAAGCCGCGACCAGGGCCCCAGCTGTGCCCCTGAATGGAATCGAACCCAGGATCCTTCAGTCCACAGGCCAACACTCTATCCACTGAATCAAACCGGACAGAGCGACATTTGGATTCTCTCCCTCTTGTATAAAGTCTCTTTTCCTAACCCAATATTGTGTTACGTGGATCTTTGTATTTCCCACAATCTGCTTCATCTTACAGACAGCATATAACCAGAACAATGTGTGAAAATATGCCAAAGGAAGGTTGAATTTGTAGTTAATTAGGTCTCAAAATGAAGGTTAAAGAAGCGCTATCATTTCAACACATTCATTTTAGCTATTTAGCTATTCAGAAAATCGTTATCTAAAAATACCTAAAAATCCAGGTTGCACAACATATATGGTGCAGTTTGGAAGTCCAGACACAGAGCGCATATGGACATCTGAATAATTTTTGCTTAAGGAAATCATAGAAGCCAAAGTTGGGTGAAAAGAGAAATGTGTGCTACACCAAAGGGGGAAAAAAATGAACCCACAAACAAAACTTCTACCTTTTACTATCCCTTGAAAAGCAAAAACCTAAATGTGTACCCTTCTGAGAAAAATATGAGGGACTCAATAATCACATGAGTCAGGTATTCTTGAATTTCAAATTTAAGGAAAATGGAATGAGAGAAAAAAGACCATGCTCCACGCTTTTAATATTCATTTAGCTGCAGGACCCTTTTTCCAGGTAAATTCTTACACCGAAGCCCATGTTGGAGAGCAGGAGGAAGTGGCCTGGCTCTGGCTGAAGGAGTGAACAGTGGTGATAGAGGAACAGGGAGAGGCATGACTTGTCATTCAGCCCGGAGCTCTGCAGACTTTCAAAAAATCACTCACTGAGGTGCTCTCCCTTTTGGGAGCACACCCCGCCTCTCTTCCCTCTCAGGCGTGCATCTCCCAAACTCTAATGGTCCCCATGAGACTTGCAACCAGGGGAGCAGTGGGCAGCAGCAGTTCCCCCCGGACTAACCGCCTGAGGCTGTCTCCAAGGCCCCCTTTTCTCTGACTTTCTGGAGAGCAAAGCAGCCCGGCCTAGGCTCTCCTGTTGCTTCCTCTACCCTAAGCCCTTCCTTGTTTCACTGTCCCCGGCTTTAATAAGTGTCCTCTCTCAAAAAGAATCATGAATTGATTTTCTAATATCTGCAGCAAATCTGTAATACCAAAATGCTTTCTCTTTCCCACTGAAGTTACTTCTGGGTCACTTATACACCATACTACCCATTATCCTCTTCAGCTAAATTCTAGCAGAAATACAAATTTATTCTTCTACTCATCTATACAGATCTAATTAGGAACATTATTCCCTCTCAAAAATATACTGCATCCAAAAGCTAAGCAAAAAGTATTTCTGCTCTGAGAAACATATAACTAAGAACAGAAAACACTCATTAATCCAAAGTATACTAATTTAGAAATTGTATTAATTCAGTCATTCACTTAGACTACAATTTCTCACGTTATCTATAGTGATAACAGAAATAAAATATTTACTCTATTTGAAGAATCAAACTTTTATTTTAAAATGTTTTTTTAATTGATTTCAGAGATAGGAAAGGAGAGGGAGAGAAACATCAATGAGAGAGAATCATGAAGCAGCTGCCTCCTGCACGCCCCCTACTGGGGATCGAGCCTGCAACCTGGGCATGTGCCCTGACTGGGAATTGAACGGTGAACTCCTGGCTCATAGGTGGACACTCAACCACTGAGCCACACCAGCCAGGCGGACCTTGCTGTTCTTTAAACATGGCAAACATGCTCCTGTTTCAGAACCTTTGCAATTTATTTCCTCTTCCTGGAGCTCTTTCACACAGATATCGAAATGGCTTACTGCTGCAATGTCACCTTATCAGACTTCCCTAACTACCCTAAGTAAAATAGTCTGCATCCCCAGAGCTTAGAATACTGTTGAGCATATAGTATAGGAATATAATATTTGCTGAATAGATTAATTTCTTTCAGATTCAAATACTCAAAGATAGGAAATATTTCAAAATCTAACACTGAGATATGAAATCCAAATGCTTCAATTTCCTGAGAATTTAAATCTTCATTCTGTTTTGTTTCCATCAACTTTAATAGAGCTGTGTCTCTGTTATACCCTTACAGAGCAGGTTTAGTGAATTTTTAAAAATTACCCTCAACTTGCCCTGGCCGGGTGGCTCAGTTGGGTGGGGCATCATTCCATACACCAAAAGGGTTTGGGTTTGATTCCGGTCAGAGCACATATCTAGGTTTCAGGTTCAATCCCCAGTTGGGGTGCCTATAGGAGGCAGATGATCTCTGTTTCTCTCACATCAATGTTTGTCTCTCCCACTCTCTCTGTCTCAAATCAATAAAAACATATCTTTGGGTGAGGATTAAAAAAAATTACTCTCAACTCAACAAATATTAATCATCTTTTCTCAATTATTCATGTGAAAAGCAACAAATTAATACAATTCACACCCAAGTTCCTCCAAACTGTTTTCCTTAACCTCATAATGTAACTGAGGCTGCAAATAAGCACTAAAGTCAACAGATACTAAGCTCCCTCCAACTACTTCTCTTCCTGTTGTTAGAAAGTGTAACAGTAATAATGTATAGTTTTTGTTAAAAATAAAACCTATGGCCCTAACCGGTTTGGCTCAGTGGATAGAGCGTCGGCCTGCGGACTCAAGGGTCCCAGGTTTGATTCCGGTCAAGGGCATGTACCTTGGTTGCGGGCACATCCCCAGTGGGGAGTGTGCAGGAGGCAGCTGATCGATGTTTCTAACTCTCTATCCCTCTCCCTTCCTCTCTGTAAAAAATCAATAAAATATATTTTTAAAAAATAAATAAATAAATAAAACCTATGGAAAATTATGTGTAGTAGTATTATAATCACTCAACAAGTTATTTTACCAAGGAGCATTTCTAGCATGCTCAGGGAAAGATATATTGGCAGCTAAAACTTGAACAAAAGGATACTTTTATGTACAAAGATAAGATTAGTTTGGCCCAGGTGGATGGCGGTCACAACGGCTGTTTTCTCATCCAGTAAAGCCACTTTCCCAGAAAAAGACTCATTATGTGCAACTTTATGGTTTTGTAACTCCAGTGTATAATGTTCCAGGGGAAAGCCCATCTCTGTAAGACATGAAAGGTACATAAATATAATGAGAGCAGCCATTCCAACAGACAATAGTATATTGTTGGATTATAAAAGGAAAATCAAGAAGCAGGACAAATAAGAGCACGAACGATCTGTTCCCAATTTCCTTTCCACTCTGATGAATTTCTACAAGTAGCCCTTTGGGGAGGGTACTATTGAGTTTATTGTTGGTATTACTTGTATTCTTACAAACCAGTAAACTGAGAGTAGCAGAAGGAATCCCCACTAGGTAAGTTAGGAAAGAATTAATGTTAATGGAGTCAATGCACACTTTATAAATTCAGCTGGATTTGTGGAGTTAATAGAGTATTCAGTTTTCAGTTACCGAACTGAGTTTTTCAAGAAACTTTTACCAAGATAATTCATGTCCTTTCTGGTAAAGTTTCTTCCCTTGCCCTGCAGAAGCTAGTAAGTTTTTGGTTGTTGTTTTAATGGAGAACTCATATGCCTCTGGTTACTGAAGCTAAGGAGCCAAACGATCGCACTTAATCTGTTTAAGATATGGGGACTATCTCTGTCCAGTATTAGCTCTAGGATAGCAATCAGAGAAAACTTGATTACAAAAGCTAAAAACAGGTGCATACATCATGTGGAGCTGCTTCTCAGCAGAAAGGATTTGGGAAATGTCAGTGTTAGGAAATGATAAGCCACCTTACCTGTCACTCTTCCTTGAACCATTTTTGCAACTCGGTATTTAATATATGTTCCTACTAAGAGATAAACATCATGGGATGGTACAAGAAATACATTCTCCAAAACAAGCAGACGTATTATTGCTGCCGCCACTTTCTAAAAGAGGAAAAAAAAAATCAAAATTTCCAAACTTGAGGCAAAATCCTCAAGGCCATCTTCCTTGTTAAAAGTTTTATAAAGATTTTTTTAAAATGCTTTCTTAATCACAAATCATAATTTCAGTTAGCCTTAAAAAATGATCATGAATCTTAATACTATATTAACTTTCTAAGTCATTTACTAACTTTCTAAGTCACTCACTTTCTAAATCACTCAAACTAAGAATGAAAAATGACGAGCCTTCTAAAGGAGAAGAGTGGTAAATAAAATGACAAGTATGCTGAAACGAGAAAAGGTAAGATTTCACTGTTATGCCACAGAAATCCTTTTTTTAAAAAAATATATTTTATTGATTTTTTTACAGAGAGGAAGGGAGAGGGGATAGAGAGTTAGAAACATCAATCAGCTGCCTCCTGCACACCTCCCACTGGGGATGTGCCCGCAACCAAGGTACATGCCCCTGGCCGGAATCGAACCTGTGACCCCTCAGTCTCCAGGCTGACGCTCTATCCACTGAGCCAAACCGGTTAGGGCCACAGAAATCCTTTTAACCAACCTCGAACTGTCTTCCCAGATTAAGTTGAACATACTGATTCTTATGAAGGCTTACCCAGCACAAGGTTAGTAAGCTGCCCTCTAGGGTATCTATACACTTGTGTTCCTGCCACTTGCATTAAATGCTATTCAAAAGACAACTGTTTTTTCCCAAATCTATGTATGCCAGCAGCACTTCTATATATATAAAAGGCTAAGTGACCATCCAACCATCAGACTGGCTGGTACCTATGATGCACCCTGACCACCAGGGGGCAGATGCTTAACGCAGGAGCTGCTGAGCTGCAGTGACTTGGCAGAGGCGGTTCTTCGGTGATGCACCCCAGAACCAGAGAGGTGGGAGCCCAATTCCTTGCAGGGCAGCGCGATTCCACCTTCAGCTGTGGGTTATGTTGTTGCTGGGGCACTGTTGGCCCCAAATCTGGTTTACTGCACACTTGCATTTGCGTTACACACCCTGTACCACAGCAACTTTGCAGAGTGCCCTCTCGCACTCCAGCACCCCTTGGGGGATGTCGGAGAGCCAGTTTTGGCCCAATCCCCATAGGCCAGGCCAAGGGACCCCACCTGCTGGAGGGACCCTGCTCATTCCGCAGATACCCTTCGAGCCGCGGTGCTGACCCAGGAATTCTAATTAATTACCTTAGAATGTGCACGAATCCGTGCACAGGGCCACTAGTTTAATTATAATTACACTTAAAAAATAAACTATGGGTGCAAAAATAGAGCAGTTGTTTCTACAAAAAATTTAAACCTTTTTAAAAATTGATTTGAGAGAGAGAGAGATAAAAAACACATTGATTTTGTGTCCACTCATTTATGCATTCATTGGTTGATTCTTGTATGTGCCTTGACTGGGGATCGAAGCCACAACCTTGGTATATTGAGACTATGCTCTAACCAACTGAACTACGTGGACAATGCAAAAAATTTAAAAATTTTGAAAAGTTAAAAGCAAACTGATAAAATGTGCTATTAAATTGGGTTTAGGTGAGAAATGTAAAAATCCTTGAAAAATATGGAATTATGTATTCAAATTGCTTCACAGGTCTAATTTTTCACTTTACTATAAAATGGAATGAAAAAAAGAAACTAGAAACTAATTTATACAAGAAACAGTATGTACAGTTCTAACCCGTGAACTCATGATCAAAGAAAGGTCTTGGACCTACACCAAGAGGTTGGTGAATAAAATGCAGGTATAGCCCGGGCAGCATGGCTCAGTGGTTGAGTATCAACCTATGATCCAGGAGGTTGAGGTTCAATTCCAGGTCAGGGCACATGTCCGGGTTGGGGCTCCATCTCCAGTGGCGGGTGTGCGGGAGGCAGCTGATCAATGAGTCTTTCTCATCATTGATGTTTCTATCTCTCTCTTCCCCTATGAAATAAAAATATTTTTAATGCATTTATATGTTTTAACGGAAAACAGCAGTTGTATTTGTAATAGGTAACAAAATGTTTAAGGAAGACAAGTGTTGTTGTTTTTCATGTTTACCCACTTCAAATGACTTTTTCAATTAAATGACTATTAGCTCAAACTATATCAGGTTAGATAGAAAACTTCTATTATAGATAAACATAAAAAACTGTATTTTACTGGTATGTAGGCAAGACTAGTAAATGGAAGTTTATAACACAAACTTTTTACCTTATAAAATGGTTCCAAAATTCGAACTTTGACAACAGCAGCACCAGTTCTAATCCCAGACACCAAAATTATATCTCCTTGTTTCCCTTCTTTTTCCATCTCAGTTACATATGCTGGGGGAGAATATTCTGCATCAGAGTATTTTAGAATCCTAAAGAGATTTAAAACAGGGTTTGTTTCTAACAGAATCAAATAATCAGTCTTCTTCCAAAAGGCACTAAGCAACTTTAGACCTAGACTCTTCAATCTCTATACAGTATAAAAAGTTGTGTTGTTGTTTTGTTGTTAATCTTCACCCAAGGATTTTTTTCCACTGATTTTTTAAAAAAATATTTTTTATTGATTTCAGAGAGGAAGGGAGAGGAAGAGATAGAAACATCAATGATGAGAGAAAATCACTGATTGGCTGCTGCCTCCTGTACGCCCCCTACTGGGGATTGAGCCCACAACCCGGACATGTGCTCTTGACTGGAATTGAACCTGAGACCCTTCAGTTCACAGGCCGACGCTGTATCCACTGAACCAAACCAGCTAGGGCTCCATTGATTTTTTACAGTGAGTGGAAGGGAGGGAGGAAGGGAAGAGGAGGGGAAAAGAGAGAGAGAAAGAGAGACATCGACTGGTTGCCTCCCGTAGGCGCCCAACCAGGGCCAGGGATTGAACCTGCAACCAGGTTCATGCCCTTGACCAGGAATCAAATCTGAGACCCTTCAGTGCTAGCTCAGCACTCTAAACACTGAACACACTGGCCAGGGCAAAAGTTTAAAAAATTTTTCCCCGTAAGGACTAGATAGAAGAAAAGTATTTAATGTGCCTCTGGCTAAAATTGTTGTTGGACTAAAACTTGGATGGTCTCAGAGCTACTTCTTGGTACTGAAGACAAAATTTCATACTATTTTTCCCACTTACTGGATTTCAGCATGTGCAGATAGCTTGAACAACAAAACAGCCAGAATATATACCTGACTCAAATAATCCTATCCTACATAATCCTATATAATAAGAGAGGAATATGCTAATTAGCCCAGATATGCTAGTCACCACAGGACATGCTAATTAGTCAGGACCAGTATGCAAATTGACCATCACTCCAAAACACAAGATGGCCGCCCCCGTGTGGCCACAAGATGGCCAGCAGGGGAGGGCAGTTGGGGGCAACCAGGCCTGCAGGGGAGGGCAGTTGGGGGCGACCGGGCCTGCAGGGGAGGGTCGTTGGGGGGGGGGACCAGGCCTGCAGGGGAGGGCAATTGGGGGTGATCGGGCCGGCAGGGGAATAATTAGGTGTCGATCAATCTGGCAGGAGAGTGGTTAGGGGGTGATCAGGCTGGCAGGCAGGAGAGCGGTTGGGAGCCAGCAGTCCTGGATTGTGACTGGGATTGGGCCTAAACGGGCAGTTGGACATCCCTCAACCAGGAGAACCGAGTTCGATCGCTCTCTATGACGTGCGCTGACCAATAGGGGGTGATGCGGAACAAAGGAAGGCTCCAGCTGGCAGCTGGAAGGCCTTGATCGGCCCTGATCTCCGGCCAGGCCTAGGGACCTTACCCATGTACAAATTTTGTGCACCAGGTCTCTAGATGTACATAATCCTGAATGCATGAACTCCCTTGCAGTACATCAAATTAAACTATCATAATGGTAGCTATATCCATACCATACTATAGCCTGCATCCTACTATATCAAAGACATCCCCCCATCTGGTAAATTTATTTGTTCTAAAAATGTCCAGACAGCAGGATTAATGCCCTCACAAATGGTTGTTGTTCAGTGTGCCACAAAGGCGGAGGTCTCCTTCAGAGTCAGATGGTTTGTTAGGTTGCAAGGTTACCTAATTTTATTAGACAGTTCTCCTCTTGATGATTCGTTGTCCTTGGCAATGTTCCACTCAAACATCATCCCTGCCAAACTACTAAAAGTATTTCCTGTAGATCAAGCCAAAAGCAGACAAGACAGAATCACATACTCAAAAAGATTCAGGTATCTTTTTTTTGCCCTTTATTGATTAAGGTATTACATATGTGTCCTTATCCCCTCATTGCCTCCACATCCCCCCAATCCTGCCCTCACCCTGTTGTCTGCGTCCATTGGTTATGCTTATATGCCATACAGGTATCTAGTTAGGAAAACCTAACTAGAAAATTACTTTTGGGGCTTTTTCATGAACAAATGGAAACACTTATAATTAACTAATTGAAATACATATACCAGGAAGATCCCTACATAAACAATATAAGTGCTACTGCTGCACAAGCTTTCTGAAAAAGGACTCAAAATGATTAGCTTCTGGTTGACAAAAATTATGCCACTTTTTCTGTTTCTCTTTACATAAAGGCCCCCTTGTAGTCTACCTCAGAGTTGACAGGAATCCCTAAATCCTGGTCCCTTCAACAAAAATTTTATAAAATTGAGATTCTAGGATAATTTAATACATCCACTCTTCAGATTTAAAAAACTATTCTTGCCGAAACCGGTTTGGCTCAGTGGATAGAGCGTCAGCCTGCGGACTGAAGGGTCCCGGGTTCGATTCCGGTCAAGGGCATGTACCTGGGTTGCGGGAACATCCCCAGTAGGAGATGTGCAGGAGGCAGCTGGTCGATGTTTCTCTCTCATCGATGTTTCTAACTCTCTATCTCTCTGCATTCCTCTCTGTAAAGAATCAATAAAATATATTTAAAAAAAATAAAAAACTATTCTTTACTGAATAGTTTAGAAAGAGGCAATAACTTTAAATGTTTTAAATATATTACAACATCAGCACAGTATATTAAGCAATATAAAACCATGCTCAAGAAAGACAAATTTAAAATTATGGAACTTTTTCACAGGTTTAACTGAATTTTCCTAGCCTACAGAAAGTGGACTTATCAAAACAGAGCTAGCAATAAATTCTAAAGTAATGTTAATTGCTGGTTTAGGGATCATCAGCAGAAGCTAAGTGGCAGAATTTGGACATTCAAGAAAACTTCTGAGATGACCAACATTCAATATAGCAGGAAAATTTTATGAAAGTATTAGCTAGTGTTTTGAACCATGCTCAGAATTATTAATTCCTTATGTACATGAGCTTCATATGAGAAAACAAATATTGCTTTCAATCTACTTTTATCTCCCAAGTACTAAACATACAGGAGTACAACTTTAAGTGATTTTGTTGAATCTTCTGAATGAACTTCTTTACCTTCAGCATCCAATGCCCTCACCATCAGTTCCAGTGGTGAGTCATCTACATAAAGTTCCCGAGTTCGAGATATAATTTCAATGCTGTCTATCACATCAACCTTCACGTCACAGCGCAGCTCATGGTCAGTCACTACAATGAATCCAAACACTGAGAATTTAACTCAACAGGTCATGACTCTATTAAATGTCTTAAACACTCAGAATCTTATTCTAAATATTTGAAAAAAAGAAAGGCTGTAACAGTTGCTTTCAACCTGTGGAAGAAAACAGCAAAATGACAAAACATAAGAACTTTTGTTTATAATAAAACACTAGACCAGCGACTCCCAAACACTGATCTACAATATATGTTTTCATTCATCCATTGAAAAATGAGAAAAAAATAATTTAAAATAGCACGTAATCAAATTTATTCACTTTAAAGGATTAAACTTTATTTTTACATTCTATCTTACTTTTGAAGTGTTAAAATGTTTTTCCTTTTATGAAATTATGGTAATAGATTTTAAAAAATGTATTTAGTTAAGTAAAATGGTTGCAAAATGTCAGTCCTGCTCTGATTTTGGGTACAAATAGCATTTCTTGAGCTGTTCTAGTTTAAAACAGACTAGTGCAGTACTTCCCAAACTTTAGTATGGATGAGAATCACCCAGAAAACTTGTTTTGGGCCCACCCCAGAGATTCTGACATAGCAGAACTGAGAGGGGCCTAAGAATTTACATCTCTCCCCTGGCCAGTGTGGCTCAGTGGCTTGGAGCGTTGTCCCATGCACTGGAAGGTCACCTGTTCGGTTCCTGGTCAAGGCACATACGTAGGTTGCTGATTCTATCCCCAGTGGGGGCACATGCCTGAGGCAACCAACTGATGTTTCTCTTACCACTTCCATGTTTGTGTGTGTTCTTTCTCTCTCTCTCCCTTCCTCCCTCTCTTAAAACAAACAAACAAAAACTCTAACAAGCTCCAGGTGATGCTAATGGTATAGGTTCACCAACCACACTTTGAGAAGTACTAGTCTTTATACTACTGCCTTTGGCCTTACTCAAGACCAATCTCGGACCTTAACACTTAAGCTAGTTCTGATAAGTAATTCTTTCCCCCTTGTATCAGGTACCATGCCAGGTGCTGAATACACACACACACATACACACACAAAAAAAGTCACAGAATAGGATGTCACAATTATTTTACTGTTACATATTGTGTTTTCTCTCAACATACCTATCTCTCGAGCAAGAATAATACTGCTGAGGCGTATAGGTTGGGTAGATTCAGCAAAAAGTACAGCTTTTTGGGAACATAAGATGCCGTTTTCATATAAAGGCTCAACAGTTACTACATCAGGGTGGGTGGAACGCCTGCCAGAATAAAATGCTTAAGAGTATGAAATAGGAATAAGTGGGTTAACTTTGGTGGAACACAATTTCTTTTATTTTGTCCATTATTACATACTACCAGGTGTATTTAAATGACACTCTTCAAAATAGAAACATTACTTAGGAAACAAGAGTTAAGTGGGAGAGACTGGCTCAGCCGGTGTGGCTCAGCAGTTGAGCATCGACCTATGAACCAGAAGGTCACGGTTTGATTCCCGGGTTTGATCCCTAGTGAGGGGCGTGCAGAAGGCAGCCAATCAACAATTCTCTCTCATCATTGATGTTCCTATCTCTCGCTCCCTCTCTTTTCCTCTCTGAAATCAATTAAAAAATTTTTAAAAAAGATTTAAGTGGGAGAGACAGAACCGTTTCCCAATGATCCCATGTGCAAAATTACATTCCTTCCTCAATATTTAAAATGCGATTGCTACATTCTTCCCTCAGTATGTAAAAATAGGATTGATGTGTTTCCAATAATGAGAGAAGTGGTTTTCTCATACTCTCAGGAATGAGTTTCCTTCAATTCTAGAAACTGGGTTGCTGATATCTAAGATGGTAAAGTTGCTGAAATTACAAGGTGTGAGCTCACTTTAAAAAAATCATTAAAATTTTTGGATGGATGGAATGGCTTTCAATGCTGGAAAGATTCCTTGCATCATCCTCTCAATCAGGAAATACATCACACGGGGTTATCTTACAATTACACTTCCTCATGAAATGGGATGTGAACTTCTTACACTCAAACCTTCCTGCTCTCTTAGGACAGGGGTGGGGAGCGTCTGGCCCGAGGGCTGTGTAAGGCCCATGCAATACTTTGGTGTGGCCCTCCCAAGGCATTAGGGTTGAGTTAATTAAATGTTTGACCAAATATAGTAAGCTAATTTTTTTAAATTATATTTTTACTGATTTCAGAGAGGAAGGGAGGAGAGCAACCTGGGCATGTGCCCTGACCAGGAATCCAACCGCCACTTCCTGGTTCATAGGTCCCTGCTCCACTGCTGAGCCACACCAGCCAGGCTGTCGATAATGTTGTATGGCCCACGGATGATGTTATAAATACCCAAGTGACCCTTGGCAGGAAAAAGGTTCCCCACCCGTCTTAGGAGATGGTAAAGGGAAATCCACTCCTTTTAGGGTGAACCCCTGAGACCTTGAAGCCCACTGCAGTTAGGTTCCCTCACACCTTGGGTAACCTCGCAACCTATCATTGGGTCCCCCCACCCAAGGAAGTCATGTCCTTCCATCCTCAGTCAGAAAGTCAGCCCTCTAGAGGTGAGCACCCTTGTCCGCCCGTTCAGGAGGGCACCATCCTGTAAGGGGGAAAACATATTACAGGAGATCTCGTCGCCACCCGAAATGGACCTTTTCATATTGGAGGAAGTGTGTACTCGTGGTCTCTGGGCCTCAGTTCCCTCGTCTGTAAAACAGGACTAATCGTACTTACAAGACTATAAGCATTGAGTCACCTGCAAAGTGCTGAGTTAAACACACAACAGTTTATGTTTTGTGATGCCTTCACACGGAAACCCCCTTATTCGGTTAGTGGGGACCCTTCCACCCCAAGCCTCTCTGCTCCTGAGTAAATCCCTCCGGCCTCTCTCATTCTAGCTGTGTGCCCTGGGGGGTCCCCACGTTGGTGAGCCCCAATACCAGAGACCTCCCACCCGGGGCTTCCGCGGGCTCTAATGGCCACTCCCACAGTGACCCCCCCCAACACACACACACACACACACACACACACACACAGTCACGTCCTGGGCAGGTCTCGGGTAAGAGCCGTGTCCCACGCAGCCTTCGGGTGTCCCACGCGAGGGGAGGCCACTCGGGAACCTGGCCACTCCACCCCACCGCCACCCGCCGCCTCCCTCCGGAAAAGGCACCCAGTGGGCACACAGCCTGCCGGGCCTCTGACCGGGTGAGCCCCTCCCATCCTCGCTGGGTGGCGTGGGGTGCAGCCCCGGGGACCCCAACCCCTCACCAAGTGTAGCAGCCCCGCTGCGCCTCCAGCAGGAAGGGCACGCGGCCGGACTCCCGGCTGAAGGGCAGCAGCACCTGGGGCACCTTCAGCTTGTTGGCCAGGGCCCCAGGCAGCAGCAGCAGCAGCAGCAGCAGCAGCAGCAGCAGCAGCAGGAGGCGGTGTCGGGGCGAGCAGGAGGCCGGGCCCGGGCCTGGGGGGCCGGGTGTCCCTGAGCCAGTCATGGCGCCTGTGGGTTCAGGTTTTCTCCCCGAGGCCGACCGGCCCCACCAGCCAATCCTCGCGCGGAATGCCAGCGGGAGGCGGGGCCGCCTGGCTCGGAATTGTGGGAATCCCTGTACTCAACGCTCAGCAAACCAACAGGATGGAAACTTCAGGCACAAACCCAGCTGCCCACTTAAATATCGGATGGCAGATCTTGTTAATAAATAAAAATCAAAAAGTCTAAAAGAACTTCCTCCCAGTTTAATTCGATTGCCTACCTGGTTTGGCCCCTAACCCCACCTCATCTCCAATTTTCTTTATTTTTATTTGGGGGGGGGGGCAGTAATTTCTATGCATTGATCCGTGCCTATTAACGGAAAAACTTTCCAGTCTTAAGTATAAACAGCTAGAGCCGGTCGTTGTCAAGGGAGCCGTGTCATTTTTACTAGTATGTCAGATTCATGGCCAGCCTCATGGCCAGGGTACAGGAATACCAGGCACTGGTGTGTCAAAGGCAACTTTGAAAGCTATCCACTCACACAATCTCTAAGCAAATACTAAGAGCACTTCTTTAAAAAAACAAAAAAACAAACACATTTTATTGATTTCAGAAAGAAAGAGGGAGGAGATAGAAACATCAATGATGAGAATCATTGATGGCTGCCTCCTGCACGCCCCACACTGGGGATTCAGCCTGCAACCTGGGCATATGCCCTGACCAGCATTCGAACTGTGACCTCCAGGTTCATAGGTCGAGGCTTAATCACTGAGCCACACCGGTTGGGCTAAGAGCACTTCTTGTTAAGGGTTTCATGTTCCATTCTGGGTCAAGAGCACATGCAGGAGGCAACCAATCGTTATGCCTCTCACATCGATGTTTCTCTCTCCACCCCCCTCCCACTCTCTCTAAAAAAAATAAATGGAAAAAATATCTTCAGCTGAGGGTTAACAACAAAAAAGGACTGGCACATGATTTTTTTCAAATTTTCCCATTTACCCGATAATACATGTTATCTTTGTTTTACCGTTGTTATATCAGGACATAACAACTAGGAACTCAGAGCTGAGTTTTGAACCCCGTTTGGTATGCTACCAAAGCATATACTCCAATGTCCTGTTGCTACCACCTACAAAGATCTGATTTTTAACCCAAACCTCAGTTCCTGTGGAGAAAGCACATTTGGATTAGTAAAAAAAAAAAAAAGAAGTCAAGTAGGTCTGAAGGTTGGAGGGACTGGTTCTTTATTTTAAAAAGATACTTGTTCAATTTTCAGTATCAAAACAGTTACACTATTGGTTTCTCTTTCTCCCAATTGGCCCCCAAAGGGACCACACCAAAGGAGAGTACATTTTAAGCCAATAAGCTGCAGGATGCGCACCCAACAGACCTCACAGAAACCTCACTAAAAATGGGGCATTAGGTAGGGAAAGAAACTTAAAGATCAGCACACTGCCCGCCCAGACTGCAGCGAGCTCTCACAGCCAGACGGGGTGGCCCGTGTGCCCCAACCCCAAAGAAGCAAAGTTTCAAAATAATACAAAATTTAAAAAGTTTTGTACATAAACTATTCAAGATTTCTCCAGCACTAACTGGTACAAAGCACAATGAGATGGCACTTTTAGAGACAGCAGCTTCAGACCCAGAGGAGGGTAATGAGATGAGTTTCATTTGGCTAAATCAGTGGCAAAAACATAATTTTCTTTCTTTCAAGGAGGCAGGAGAGCAAATAACTGGTCACTTCAACCTCAGGGTCACATGATCCATTTTGTGAGCCATTGGGCTTGAAAGGGAAGAGATGGGACTAGAATTTGGTCTCTGACGGGGAGGCCTCACCATTTTAATTTGGTCACTTCTGATGAAAAAATAAATTGCCCAAAGATGCCTTAAAAGCTGAAACCTAAACATCACTTTTTTTTTTTTGGCTAACTCCTCCTGAAATCACCTTTTCGATTTGGCTAGTGCTCTGCACAAAGCAATGATTCCCCATAGTGGAGCCGTCCTCTGGGCTCTATGTGGCTCTCAGTAAGGCAGGCCCATACCTCTTTCCCTCCTCTATGGAGAGGGCAATATGGATTAAGCTGAAAAATTACCTCCTAAAAGCGAGAAGGGATTAGACTGCTGCTTGAGAACTGTGGAATTATTTGGAATGTTTCACAAATGGTTGCCACATCAACAACAAAAAAGGTAATTACAAAATGTGTACATCACAACATGCTTTTAAAGACACTTTGCATTGTGCTCACATTCCCTTCAATGTTGTTCCCAAAGGTGCTCAGCCTCTAGCCCAATCAAAATCTCTGAGGGGAGGCAGAGATAATTTGGCGAAAAAGACGTGGGGGTCGGTGGGTGGGGGGGAGGCAGTGAAAGGAGAAAGCAGCCTTCCAGTTAAAGATCAGCCCTCAGTTTAAAGGTCAGCTTCAAGCAGGCTGGCCTCAGGCGGAGTCAGGGTCAGAGGGAGGAGCAGCGGCAGGGCGGGACTGGGTGGCTCTACATCTCATTCAGGTCAAGCAGAGTCTGGTCCAGCATCCTTTGTGTACAGAGGTGTTCCTCTTTGGTGCATTTCAGTTTATCTAATGGGGGTAAAGGAGAGACATTAAAAACCAGAAGTAAATTTCAAGGTCTACCCACTCTGAGAACTGCTCCTGTTGCAGGGAAGTGCAGACTAATAAAGCAGTTGCCTTCTCGGCCACAGAAGTGAGCTATTGCCTCACTTGGTTTGCAGGGCCTCTGGCTTGCCTACTGCAGTTGCAGGCGCTGCTGTACTTCTGGGGGCGTTGGGAACCTTATCAGTCATTTCCTCTACTTCCCACACCCAGCCAAGCCTTATCGCTTTCAGTCCCCAAAGGAGGCAGCCTTAAACATCACCATCAACTCCTTTAGGCTTTGCCCAGAGAACAATGGCTCACTGAGGTTTGACCACAGAGAATAAGAATGGGTATCTGTCTACCATAGAAACATTAGGATCTCAACTTGAAAAGCGTACAGGGGGATTCTCATGAGCTAGAGAGGAAAGGAACCATTGGTGGGATAAATAAAAGAACCCCCACAGTTAAGTAAAATATCTGTAAAGGAAATAAAGCCAAGAATACTATCAAACGTATATGTGTAAGCAAAACCTTAAGATTTTTGCAGTGTTTATTCAGAACTAGCTTGTGACAGTTAGTTAAAATTAAACATAAAATCAGGAAAAAGCAACATGGAAAATGTCAGGAAGAAAACCAGCAGCTGGACATTAAAGAGAATCTAATCTGCGCAGAAAGCAAACCTCTCTGCCTGCTCTAGGGAGGTGGGAAATACTCAGATCTTTCACTCAGGGAAGGTGATGGCACACAGATCTAGGAATATTCCACGCCATTTTTTTGCATCCAGTCAGAAGGGCCCAGCTGGGCCTGCAGAGAAAGCAGCTACAACATCTTGTCAGGTCATTCCTTTTATTGTTAGAAAACATCCATGCAAGGGAAGTATCCTACAGTCAGTGCACAAGTGAAAGAGCAGCAAATCAGGGTGGAAAGCAGAAAACTCTCCCAAGTTTTCTCACTATAACCTCTCAGGCCCCTCCCTTCATCACCCACACCTCTTGAAAAGGGACAGAAATGCAGTATTAAACATTCCTACTACACAGGAAGTCAACAATATTCTAACTGCCCCAATTGAAAAGCAATTTGCTTAGGGCAACTTAGTAAACTTTAAAAAGACAATCAGCTTTTTGCTGGGGTCCAGGTCAGTGGTGTGAGCAATAAGCTCGGTTTAATGGGCATCAGGGAGCCCTGCCATCAGTCACACAGATCATGCAGCGTTAGCTTCAGCTCATTAGAAAGCAGGCGGTTTCGCTCAAGTTGGCTGTAGAGACGCTCTGCAGCAGCGACAGGAAGAAGACAAGAGGAGAGGAGAAAGAGGAGGAGAAAGAGAAAAAGGGAAGGTTAGTAGAGAACCAGATGTAAATCTGAGACTTTCAACTAGCTGGCACACACGACATGCATCTGTAAGGCAGAATGGGTGCAAGGACGATTCAAACCGAGGGCAGTGAGAGTCAGTCAGTTGATGGAAAGATCAACAGAGGAATAAAACAAAACACTCAGACCAACAAGTTGGAAGGACAACATTATGAGGGAGAAAAAACACATTCATAGTATATATTCCCTAGGTTGAGAAACGGAGACAAGTGAAACAGGGCAAAGAAAGGAATACAGCTCAAGTCTAAGAAATACATTTATAATAATGAGGTTTGAAAGGACCAAGTGAACAGCTGAACATTTTTCTGTAAGAGCATTTAATACACCATTATGAATGGTAGATTGGGGCAAATATCCCTATACCCACTTAATCCTACACTTTCCAATGCTTCTTGTTGTAGGCACTGGAATAGAACTATCATAGTGGTTTATTTAATCAAAATCCAACTTCCTCCCCTTTAAAAACAAAACAAAAAAAACAAAAAACCCCAAACCTGTTAGGGTTAACAGTGTGCTCAGGGCCAGGGAAGTTGAATTACTGGTACAAGCCAATCAAGACTATCCTATTCTAGTTTTTTTCAGATTCACTTGCAGCTAGGGGTGGTCATGTGATCCAGTTCTGACCAATGAGATATAGATATTAATCTGCTGGGAGTTCCTGGGAAATTTTAGCTTCCCTTCTTGCCTTTGAATATGGATGTGATGGCTAGAGCTACATATTCCAACCTTAAAAGACCAAAAGAATCACACTAAGTCCAGCTACATCAGACCACAGCTGCTCAAATCTAAACTTTTATTATGCAATAAAAATAAACCCCATATTTATTTTAGCTACTGTTAAGCTGTTTCCTATAACCAAAGCATTCCCGAGACAAGTAGTTAAGTGCTCAAGTTCCTTGGCTTTGTCTGGATTTTCTACTTGGAGCACACCGTAAAGGGGGGTACGGAGAATTCTAATCCAGCACAGGGGCAATGGAAATTTGTATCAGCCTCTGAAGTTCACGTAAAGTTTCTTCCTGTTTTACAGTCTGTTTCAAAATTGTCTCAAGATGTCACCGAGAGCCCTGGTCAGTGTAGATCAGTGGTTAGAGTGTCTGCCTGAGCACCAATGGGTCTGCCTGGGGTTTGATTCCTGGTCAAGGGCAAGTACCTGATTTTGGGTTCGTTCCCCCACCCACCTCAGACAGGACGGTGCAGGAGGCAACTAGTCAATGAGTCTCTCTCGCATCGATGCTTCTGTTTCTTTCTCTACCTCCCTCCCCCTGCCCATCCACTCCATTCTCTCTGAATAGCAATGGAGAAAAAACCCTCAGGTGAGAATTAACAAAAACAAAAAAGATGTTAATATGAAAAAGATACTTTTATGTTCCTAATAATACTTTCCACTTTATGTACACTATCAAAACAAAAAGCTTAGCCCTGGCCGGGTGGCTCAGTTAGTTGGAGCATTGTCCCGCACACCAAAAGGTTTCACGTTTAATTCCCAGTTAGGGTCCATATGAGAGGCACCCAATCAATGTTTTTCTTTCTTCTTCTCCCCCTTCCTTTTTTTTTTTTATTTCAGAGGAGAGGGAAACATCAATGGAGAGAGAGAATCATTGATTGGCTGCCTCCTGCACGCGCCACACTGGGGATCAAGCCTGCAACCTGG